TCAGTATGACCCCCTCCAGACATCAACCTGAAAGTTGTGGTATTCTTTTTGAATCACCCTGTAGATATTCCCTTCTTTGCCCTATTTCTATTGTGACAAGATAAAGACGTGTCCCATTCCTGGCTGCTTAATAACACTACCTGTTTAGAAGATTTAAGATTTGTTGATTTAACCTCTTGACTTGTGTGTATCTTCATATGTAAAACGCTCTGCAAATTCATGTTAGATGCGTGAACAGTAAAGCTCTGCCTTCTTTGATTTGTTTGGCCAACTTGATTATTCAGACATTGATAAAACATTTTGATCATTTCAAACAATCGTGCATTTGATTATCTAAATTGATTGGCCTGCCGATTAGATTTTAGAAGCCAACATTCGAACTCACTAGAACAGCAAACAAGCATTAACGTCTCTGCTTGTCTTGACAACTACCCCCCAATGGTTAGCCTATTGCATAGGCGCATGGCCTAATTGTTTTTCATTTTTGTCTCTGCAAAACAAAAGATTCTGTAACGAAGTGCATTTCAACAGTGCACACCTGAGACTTGGCAAGGCGGCCATCCATGCATTCGATCATCCTGTAAGAATTACCTTTCCCAACGATTTTAGGCAACAATTGCGCAAGGGACAGGCAGGAAGCTGTTGTGACTTGTTATTGTTTTCTGTCAATTGTCAAATCTAAATTAGTTTCAAAGGAAGGAAATTCAGTTTTTGATGCATTTTTTGAAACGGCTTTGTAATGGTTGCCGGCATGCTTGTGATGAATACAACTCAGAGGGGGCCTGATAACTGCAGGAGCCATTAAAAGCACTCATGTGTGGCTCACGCCAACAAAACACCGCCGCTGTTAGGCAGGAGCACTCTTCTGTTTGGAGGGACTCATTGATTTTGTCCTCATCTTTACTCCCAATCTGTTAAGCATCGTAAAATTACATTGCCGACGATTATGGATTTGATGGTTTGTGATTGAGGTCTGTCAGTGAGCTTTTAAACACAATGCAGTATTTAGAAATTCAGAAAGCAAGAAAAAAATTCTGTAAGCCTGAGTGTTAGGTTTGGTCCACAGTGTTTGTGCTGCATACATGAACAATTCCTCTAAACACGCAGCAATAATATTTTGAAAAGTTGTTTTTGTCTATTCACATACTCTTTAGCTGGGATCCAAAATAACTCTTTGACCCTACAACAATGCTGCAACACAGAGAAATATCAAAATGACAGTATGACTTATGTGAGTCTGGAATTTACATTTTTAGTCATCTAAAAAGTCTGATTGACTGACTGGTGCCCAGTTTGAAAAGTTATGTCATTCATTTAACAGAGCCAATTTTCTGCTCATGTTATCTAAAACCTCCATCTGGGTTTTGTGTGATTTCAGTTAAAGAACCAAAATGTGTGATACTGTTTTGTCAAACGTTATGGACCAGGGCTCTGTTGTTGTCATATAGTGAGATTTTCGATTGTGTGCAAAGATCTTTACAACTGCAATTGTATTTAATATCAAATGAGTAGCTAAAATAAGTTAAGTATATTTAATAAATTGAAATACTGTTTCTAAAATCAAGGATTTAAAGATAAATATTAGCAAATATGAAATAGTCTAAATCAGTGGTTCTCAACCACCATCATTAACTATTTCTGTTTTATTTATTATCTGAGTCTAAACAATCTTTTATTTTAAAAACTTTTATTTAGAAATCACTTAAACTCAGTCATTTAAACACCCAAATATAACCTACAAACAGCAAAATGAGCAAGAAACAGACGTCGTTAGAAAGTTTCTTTGCTTAGAGGAATTTTGTAAATTTGTCAATAGATCAGATGAATCCACCATGGCTATGCAAGAAGATCAACTGCTGGAGAATGCAAATGACCTTTTAGGGGCTGTTCGCATATTGTGTCTGTTCTAGAATTTGCGCCAGTTCGCTATTTCCAATGGAGGTATGCGGCTTGCTCAAAACAAGCAGCATGATGTGCTCGCCCCTTCCAGACACACTCAGATCACTGTTGCAACTATTTTATTGCTGCTTGAATACAGTATATCATTATATCATTATTATGTGTAGTGAATTTGCAGTAATCTCTCAGATGTAATAAACTCAGACAAGTTCTGAAATTGTAACTAAAATATATATGATTGTGAACAAGAAAAGAATATAAAGTCAAATTCAATTGTTAAAATAAAGGAAAAGCAGATCGGTTTGACTGTACAAAGGAAATACCTTCACATTGACGGTGCTGCAGGGCTGCAGGTGGGAGAGACTACTGTAGACCGACCACCTCTTGCCTGTCAGTGCTCTGAGGCGGGGGAGGGGCTGGCGGCATCACCCACAGCTCGTTGAGAAGAGCAGGGACGATACAGTATGGACAAATGACCGTCAATAAAAATCTCCAGTAACACACAAAAAAGTCGCTAGATTTGTCGCTAGTCGCTTTTTTGAAAATTTCTCGCTAAGGGGGTCTGAAAAGTTGCTAAGTTGGCAACACTGACTGATGAATGAATCACGCAAGCGCACTGCAAGTCACATGACAAAAACTGACCAATCAGCTTCAGCTTGTATAGAATATACACATTTTGGTTGACTAATTACCTCAGGGAAACACAGAACACCCAAACACTGCAGTGCTTTATTATTTTCTCCATAAATAAAGCTTGTATCGGAGTGACAGCAATGTTTTGTCATCTTGTCATCCTCTGAGAAAATATTTGATGGTTGCCTAGCAACCTAGGAACCACCCCGCCACCCCCATACTGGTCCGTGGTTAAATTGTCAAGCGTTGACTGGTCCGCAGTGATAGAAAGGTTGAGGACCATTGGTCTAAATAGACCCACTAACTATAGGCTATATAATGCATTTGTAGATATTAGCAAAGTCCCTTTAAGACAAGCCATTTAACTCGGCGGCCGTCATTGAAATGAGCAGTAAGCTCGGGCATTCTGTCTGAATAGGGAAACATCAAATTCTCCTAAGCTGTTTGCCAAGATACAATTACATTAAATATTTGTAATCACCTATAAATTAAACGACAACTGTGTCAACAGTTTAGATTCTAAACCTTTTAATCAAACAAAATCAACGTTTTTTTAGGCTGCCCAAGCTAATGCATATCATATGCACACTCAAAACAAATGAGATCACAACACCAACCTCATTTATGATCGTTTTACACATAATCATCCTCTGAATAATGCCTTGTCAGATCGTGCTGCTCTTCTGAAGTAATTCCCGACTTGATCCTGATGGCGAATCTTTTCTAGAAATGAAAGTGACTTTTTGTTTGAGTAGTTGCTGTCATTTGATTTGCCTTTGACTGGACAGATTGTACCTCGCATTTCAAACAGATTACAAAACCAAAAAACTTTTATTTTTAAGTGTAGTTGGTTGGATTAAAAGTACAGATTTCAAGCATAATATTATCAAGCAAAAAATATTTCTTATGTCTGTGGAGCAAGTATTTGTGTGATTGTAGTGTGTTTGGTGATCACAAAAACATTGTAAAAGCACATGTCTGGTCCGAGCTTCCTCCCCGCAGAAGCGTCAGTCTATATCGATCGCTGATTGGCTCCTGTACTAGTAATCAAGGCTTCATTCGCCATATGAACATTACACTTTTCACCATTAAAAACTATACGAGTGACGTTTGATATAAGTCAGCAATATAGTCTTACAGATTCTTACCTCATCTCTCTCAAATTTTTAAGCATTAACTGGAAAATGGAGAGATTTGTAACTTTATGAATGATCAGTCTACAGTAATAGTCATGAAATACAAATTGACAAAAAAAGCTTTTTTTTCTAAACATTTATATTCTCATGGTCAGTAATTTGTGTAAATTAATCCAAATAACTTTTGATTGGGCAGCATGGCGGCACAGTGAGTAGCACTGTCACCTCACAGAAAGGTCGTTGGTTCGAGCTTCAGCTGGGTCAGTTGGCATTTCTATGTGGAGTTTGCATGTTCTCCCCTTGTTGGCGTGGGTTTCCCTCGGGTGCTCCCCAAAAGTCCAAAGACATGCGCTGCAGGTGAATTGGGTAAACTAAAATTGTCCGCAGTGTATGTGTTTATGTCCTGGTCCTCCAGGTTGTGGGTTGCGCATTAGGCTAATGACCCACCTCGTAAAAATGAGATTTTATGAAACACCAATATGGTGTGGCTAAATATCAACTTCGATATAAACGGCCCTAGGAGTAAGTAAGAGTAAGTCATTTTTGATTGAGTTTTAATACTGTAATATGTTATTAAATTGTACATTAATAGGGGTATTTTAATGTCGTTGATAGTTAATTGAAGAACATTACTGAACACCCACTTTACACAGAAGGTTCTTTAAATTGGCAAAAAGTTATACAGTAATGAAAAATATAAATATTTAATGAAGTGTTCACAGGAAGGTTTTATGAGAACCAAAATGTTTATTTTATGGCATCACTTTTTTTTAAAAGTATATAGTTATGTTTTTTTGGTTGTTATATGCTCCCCAAACTCAATAGCAGTGCAATAAAATCCACTCAAATCGCAATAGCAACACATGGAAATGTGGTGTGGTGTAAAGTACTGAACATGAGCAAAAAATTGAGTTTCTCTATAGCATTTGAAACAACAGGATGCCATGATATCAGTAATATGTGCTAGACCCTTTTCCAGTCTCCCAGTCTGTTCTGTCCTTTCTTTTTTTAACTCAGCTTTCGGCCTTAATTTTTTTATTCATTTATTTTTTTTTCACCCATTTATTCCAGTCCGAGTCAGCAAGATGCTTGAACCTGCTCAATAAACAGAAGCAATTGGTGGTGATGCAGCCCCCAGTCCAGCTGAAGGCTATTTACCACGTCTTTACCCACACACACATTTCTCCAAGGCTCCAACTTTGTGTGGCTCACTGATTGTACTGAAAACATTTTTTTTTTTTTCATAGAAGAGTAATACAATCACTTTGAGTGTGCTGCATAAATTTTCATTAATCAACAATGTAATGTTTTTTCTTTGTCCTTTTTTTTCAGACTTGGAAAACTTCAAAACCCACAAGCGGAGTTCAGTGTCTGTTCGGGAAGGCCAGGGAGTGGTGCTTCTCTGTGGGCCTCCTCCGCACTCAGGAGGTCAGTACCACTTCCAGCTCGATCATATTTCATTTGCACCTCATTTTTCTAGAGGAGAGGTCTTCCGGCAGTCTCTCGGCACTCGCTTGTCCAATCTGCGGATCACATAATCCCATCAACATCTCTCAATTCTCTGACAAGCGTGTGTAGGCAAGCCCAGACAGCCTCCAGAGACCGAGATGTTTATGTGCAAACTCTCTTCCACCCTTTACCTGCTTCCCTGTAGCGTCAAGCAGCAACTTTGTCCAATATTGTGCTGAGTTTGTGTGTGTGGAGCGAGGAGCGGTGTGATTTTTGAGTGGAGTGTTTTTTAAGAGTTTGTAAGCACTTCATTAATGTTCAAACACAAGCACAACTGATGTACTGTTAATGATCAAAAGAGTGTCAAACTAACAAACAAATAATGAACTTGAGTTCACAACAGACATAATGTGAATGATCTGTATGAGATAGAATGATGTTGATCACAACTTCTGAAGTACATTACACCTACCAAGAATTGCAAACCTGATCAGTGTGATCTGTAGCAAGCTCTACTTTACTGAACCATACCACTCTGTGGAAATGAGACATTATTCAACCCAAGGCACCATGTCAGTGTCTACACCAAGCTATCAGTCAGCTGTTGGGCTTCGTCGGTCATTGTTGTTTCAGCTAGTTGGTTTGGTGTCTTCCACATGTGGCCTGGTAAAGTGTAGATAGTTGCAGATACGCACATCAATATAGCATAATTTTTGCGGCACTGTAAAACAATAACTAATCATTTTACCGTACTGTGACGGTTGGGTTTTGGGATTGTGGTAGGTGTAGACATTATTAAAATATAATTCATGGAAAATTTAATGAATGATATGAATAATTCAACTGTATCTGTTCTAGCAACAACCACGTGCCCTCTTATCGGGTTAACGTCAGAGCTCCTTGGCCCCATTCACCATGTTTTTATTAAACTCTTGAAGGTTTACAAAGAGGTAGGCTGTAATTTTGCTACATCTCTCAAATATTTTGGAACAATATGAATTATTAGTTCATATTTGTAGAAGCGAATCCCTCTGTGGTGATTGACTATCACTGCGATGGTACTAAACGCTGCTTTGTTTACACTTTGCACATGCACATCGGCTTTTCATAGGAAACAACTGACTTCTGGTTCATCACCATCTATATTGGTGTAATATATTTAAAGTACGTAGTTTAAGTAGCCAAGAGAGCTTAACATGCTGCAATTTAAGAAAACACATGCAATTCCCAAAAACACCAGCAAATTTTTATCCATTTTTATCCGAAAAGATTTTTATCAATTTGACAGAATACGTGCTGCAAATCCTCACAACACATACACAGTTTTTTAAAATGCAAACAAATTAAAAAAAACCCGCAGCATTTTCTCGCAATGCAAACAAATGACGAAAACAACTACATTTCTCACAACACTTTCAAATAGCTCAGAACACAACGGACATGTTTTTAGGGCACTTAAAATCTGATGGATATTTAGGATTTGTTAAGGATATTTAGGATAATAAAATCACTTACAACTTCGTTGAGTTATATAGTCATGGCACAGCAGCGTCTGTCACATTTTGGGTCCTTTTGAAAGATTTCCATTGTACTCTGTTCTTTTTACAAGTGTTGTGTATTTTGTAATTGCGCGTGTTTGTTTTAAATTGCAGCACTTTAAGCTCTCTCGCCCACCGTGTTTATTTTCCTCATACCACAGAATGTTATTGTAGACTCATCTCTTCCCCTTAAAATTACGTAAATGATTTTTACAAAGTTCAACTTTCTGAAAAGTGTGATGTGCACTGATTGGCCATCTATCCGGTGCATTGTGATTGGCTACATTCCTTAATAATGTGATGAAAATGTTACACAATTACTACTCTATCAATTCAAAGCTAAATGTTATCTAGAAAATACGTATTGTAAGTGCAGAATGTAAGGAATTGGTAAGGTTTTATTATACAAAGTAGTGTAGAAATTAAATATACAGAGTATATCTACAACATTAAAACAGTGAGAATTAAACTTTTACCTTTTTTAAACTTTTACCACTGTTTTTCTTTTTCGTTGTGTTTGAAAGAGGCACTTTAGGAAGTTGAGGTTGATCCATAACTTAACTTCTCCTTGGGTTAGAGACTTTAGCTTTTGTGAATCTGTAGACATCATATACAGTATATACAAACAGCTTTCAAAATTTTCAAATACGACTTGAAAATATGAAATTGCATCATATAACCCATTTAAAAAATGTATTGTTTTTAAGTAACACATGTATTTATTTTAACATTGATAGAACATAGCTTTGTGATATAAAAAATGCAGTCCAAAGTGAATAAAATACTTATTTTTTATTCATCAATCACAGATTGAGAAGTAGTTGTAGATGGAAACTTGGCGTGGAGAGATTATAAAATGCTTTAAACAGTGTAAAAAGAGGAAAATGTTTCGTCTTTCTTGAAAATTTGCTCCAGTCCTCACAAATACTCTGGTTCTGAGCAAGAAATTCAGGTCAGAATGCCATAAATCACAATCGCTCTTATTCCTGTGATTCACAAAGACTCTGAAGCATCAGGCGTTTGCTTCATGCTGCGCTGTTCCTCCCATGTATTTTTGCCAGTTTCTCTACCCAATCTCTACCGCCGACGTGAAATGTTCATTAACTCTGCCATCACTTTGATGGCCTCTATCAATTAACAAGCAGCGTGCAATTTAACTGCTTATTAATGGTGCCAGCGGTGTTGCTTGTTAGAAGAAGTGCTTTGTTAGCATTTATTGCACAATAGGTGCTTTTCACGTGGCCTTTTTGAAGAGTGGCGTGGATCCAAAGCACTCAGGCTTTTGTAATATGAGCTAATTAATATGAGGTTTCTAAAGTAAAAATAAAAATCACTGTAAATTGATGAAAAAGCAGCCAAAGAAATGCGGAGTGTGTTGTGTGATTGATAAAAAATCTTTAAAATTATATGTTCAATTTACATTCAAATATATAATTACATAAATGCTGACAGTGTGTAAGCCATTCAGAACTTATATTCAAGAGTTCACAGTTAGAGATTGCCTGATAATGATAGCAGGTTTGGCAAGCTGTCTCGGGAGAGAACCATGAGCTTGGAGATAATTGAGCCCAGGCTCCTCCCTGGTCAATGAGCATGTAAGGAAGTACGAGATCAGGTAGTTCTCGAGAGCTCCTCCTGGTAAAGGAGGAAAATGGGGGAGATGGGGTGGATAGAGGGTTTCTTCAGAAAACATAGATAAGGAAGGAGTTTTAGACAGGCTACTTATAGTGAGTTTGAGTCATTCTGATTGTCTTACTAATGATTCCAGAAGACCAGCTGTGATCAATCATATCATGTGCTCCTCTCAAAATTAGTTTGTGAAACTTCACTAAATGTTCCCCAAGCTCAACATATTTAGAATTGCAGTTTAGTTAACCGCATGTTTGTTTATTTTATAGGAATTTATTTAAATGTATGTAATAAAATAGTATGATATATAATTGGTAAACCTTATTTTAAGCTATCTTTGTAAGTACTTACCATAATCTTTACAATTAATTTTGCATGATTACATGCAGCTAACCCTAAACCACATTCTAATCTTAATGTTTGTACATGGAGTTAATTAAAATTACCCAGTAGTTAAATGAATAGTTTATATAGATATATATTGTGTGATCATATAATGTAAATATATGTTTGTACATATAGTGTTCAGCTTAAATGACTACACCCCATTTTAAATTAAACATTTTTATCCATTTCTCAGTGAATATAGGTAATGTATTTTGATGAAATTGAACAAAGCAGATTAAACAGATATATTGTTAAAAATAATAGTATTTTAGTTACCGAACATGTTTAGAAGTAGGACGATAATACAATTACATTTCAAATACTTCAAACAAACAAAAAAAGTCAACAAAATATTTTTGTATATTTTTTAGTTTCTCTTGGTTTTTCTCCTTTTTCCCTTCTTTATTTAATACTTTTCCCTAACATAAATTTGGGATACTGATATTTGGACTTTTATCGTAAGTTATTTTGTTAGATTAGCTCTAGATTTGGTTTCAATACCATCGAAGCTAGTGTATATGGACTATATATAAATTAGCGCTGTCAAAATTAACGCGTTAACGCATGCGATTAATTCTAAATAATTAACGCGTTAAAAAAAAATTAACGCAATTAACAGTTGCAGTTTTTTTACTTCCTGTTGTGGTGGACGTGTGTTTAACATGCGTGAAATGTGGATAATACCAAGCACTTTTTGAAGGCAAGTTCCAGTATAAAACAATTAATGTCGCATCACCAGGCTCTCCAGAGTTTCATGCAATTTCGGGTGTTTCATTTTTAACTTTCGACTTCTGTTGTAAGTTGATACCGCATGGGGAACAGAAAGAAAATCCTCCGCATTTCGTGACTCGGTGTTCCTTTAAGGTAATAAAATCACTGCTTAGGCTACATGGTAGAATTTTAATAAGAGTATAATCTTAATCATATTAAAATCTTATGTGAGTGTCCTCAGAAAGTCTCTGGTGAAGTCGCGAGCTGTCAAAGACAGGGCATTACCAAGGGCGTTGCGAGGGGGGGGGCTTTGGGGGCTTAAGCCCCTGATGTATTGTCAAAAGCCCCTGATCTCTTGGAATATGTTGCACTTAAATAAAAATATGTTGTATAACATTTATTTTGTTATGTAAGTACTAGAAATTACCACATACATCACGAACATTCCACTTAACGCAGCGTTTGTGTCAGGTAATTAAACCGTCAGCTGTTCAGCAGTACCTGTTTCTACCGGCAGGTGGGAGTGGCTCTGTTGTCACATGGTGTTAAAAAAATCCCGCCACTGCACATCATTCATTTATTATTTTGAGGAGCTGAAGCTAATGAGGTAATAATACAACTCTTTCGCGAAACTGAATAGTTTTAACTACTGATGAAGCTTGTTTCCACAGTATAAAATGTGTGTAGTTTTGGTGACATAAAATAACTATAATC